TTGTTGTGTGTGTGTGTGTGTGTGTGTGTGTGTGTGTGTGTGTGTGTGTGTGTCTATGCGCGAGCACTCACGAATCTCGTAGATGCCGCTCTGTGCACTCGGATTGATGTTCTTCACGTCCTGTTGAGGCGGTGGTTGGGAGTGGTGAGGGAGAGAAAGAGTAGGGGTGTGAGCAGCACGCAACCATCCCCGCACGAACTGCCAAACAAGCAGACTCAACCACTACACATGCAACAACACACACCAGACAGCTCTTGGGGACGAGCAGGAGCTTCAGCTGCGACAATTCGTCACGCAGCGCCTGCACTTCATCCGGCAGTGCCTGCAAGCAACAACAGGAAAGCAATGTTGACGTGGTGTGATGATAGCACGTGAGAGCAAAACAAAGGCAGTGTTGCTGCGGTGTGTGTGTGTGTGTGTGCGTGTGTGTGTGTCATTGATGTGTGGTCCTCACCGCAACGTTGTCCACGCGGCCACTCAGGTCATTCAAATCGCCCGCCAAACCATTGACGGCTGTGTGTGTGTGTGTTGGGGGGGGGAGGTTAGACGCATGCGTGGCACGTGAGCAGCTGATGCAGGTGAGCACGAGCACATGTCAAAACAAGAAACCGATGCGCAATCAAACTCAGCGAACGACACTGCATCTGCACGATCCCTGACCTTGGGAAATGCTGTTCTCCGCGGCGGTGGCGCGGTTTCTCTCGTCCTGCATCAAGCGAAACAACAGCGACAGCAGCAGCACATGCACTCGTGGGTGAACAAAGGACACGTGTAGGTGTAATGGGTTGATGCTTTCATGCACAGAACATGACTACCACGGGAGAAGAGGGCTGCGAGAAGATGGTGTAAGCAGTCGAATGGTCGCGGCGCTCACCGTGATCTGTTGGGCCAGAGCGGCGGCGAATGCGGACGTGTCCTCTTGTCGGCCGTTCAGTGCAGTGAAGTTTGCACCGAGCTCGGCTAGCGTCGTGACGCAGCGAAGGGTGGTGGTGGTGGTGGTGAGGGAGGTGGTGGTGGTGAGGGAGGTACATGGGAGGCACGTTGCGACAAGGAGAATTATGGCATTGCTGTCAAACTATCCAGATACACACGCACACATGTGCGTGTGTGTGCATGCGTTGTTGCTCACCAAGCAGCTGCTGCAGGGCCAGGATGTTGTCCTGATTTCTGCTCTCGTTGTCGCGTGCAGTCGTCACCTCTGTCTCCAGCGCAGTCGACAGCTGTACACACACACACACACACACACACACACACACACACACACACACACACACACACACACACACACACACACACACACACACACACACACACACATTAAATGGGGGAAGTGTGGGGTTGCAGGTGAGCTGTGTCATTAACACACGCACGAATGCAACACATACACACGCAACG